TACAAAAATCGTTGTGACTCACATAGTAGATACGTACAGTAGAGCGCTTCGAAAAAATAGATTTTTCATATGTTTTATTATGTGATCGACAAAAATTACGTAGACTTTTGTCCAGTGAGTGTATAATATGCCCACAATTGACTCTGCACTTTGCGCAATTATAATATCATTTTAACATCAGAAGTAGTGATAGTAATATGGTTGTTAATTGCTAGATTAAGCCAGATAGCTAGCAAATTCAATCTGAGGATAGGATAAGGGTCGATTCTTCTTTTTCTTAGATAAAGGTGCATCATCATCGATAGAAAGCCATTTATCTTTATTGCACCAAATATCAATAAACGTATTTGCCGCGACACCATATTAATACTGCTCCGCCAGGATGCCTTGTTTAGGTCGTGGTTTCTGCATTAACGCAAGGCATATCTCTTTTTTCTGAATTGCTGTCAGCAAGCCTTTTTGTTTTTTTATGGTTTTGATGTGATATTATCTTTATTTTTTCGTCTCATGGTATACGCAAATGCTAATACATATATATAACTGAGACAAGTTGATTGGTCAATTTTGGTGTTGCACAAGAATATCGAGAAAATTTCATATCAACACTAATTAACCGTTCCGAAGATTGTATCGGTATAGCTAATGAAGAGATTTATTGGAATTTATCGGTATAAGCTGTACAGGTAAACGCAATTTTATCAGTATAACCAGTTATCGGTATAAAGAATATCGGTATAGTAATAAAGAGGTTTGACCAATCGTTCACGTGACATCAGTAATCGATACCCTGGTAAACCACCTGCTTCAACACCTTGTAGCTAATATATACTGTATGTACTGACATATGGTATTGATAGATGACGTACCATAATTCGCTAACGCGGCCAACAGTAATATATCTGATTGAAATGCATCCTGATCTGTGTATTCGTATGAGTAATTACAGTCAACTACTGTCTATAGTCACACTTTCCCAAATCACCCCATTGCCATTTTGCTTAGTAGAACATAAGAAATAAACCCTCTCTATAATCCCCTCTGTCTATAATCCCCACTTTTCCGAAATTTGCATTGTGCCAAAAGGTTGTGACTATAGACAGTAGTTGACTGTATAGCATACTAACGCACCTTCGCCAAACTGTATATGGTGCACCAGCCAAAATTAATATAACATCGATCGGCTTTAAAATTACCAACTCGATCGTCAAAATTGGGTTGACCGTACTTGTTAGTAAACTGAATCGGGTGAACCTTTTGCCTACTTTATTTATATTGCTATAATGAATATAATACAAAACGTCCAAATCGGGACAATTTCTTCAACGAAGCAAATTTATTCATACCCAATTTGCTCCATATGGTTAAAAAAAGCCTCTTAAATTACTTTTCACTTACACGTGATTAGCAAGTAATTTAACTTTACAAACCCACACAGATTTTGCTCACGAAGAGTCCACTATTCCTTAAACACAAATTCAAAATGCAAAATAGACTCTGTGTCCCCGACACTGTCCGTCATCATTACTGACTCTTTATTGCATTGCCATCTTTCGGTTTGAGTTTCTGTTGTACATAGTCAGCGTACTTTCTAATGAATTCCACTTGTCTAGAAAAAAAAATTAAAGATCGAATGGTGATACAAAACATCACATAGTCAGACATGCTCTCGATAAGTACTTACATTTGCGTTTCGATTGCTTTCGGAGATCTCCTCATTCTTACCAATCGTATTGCTTTGTTAGCATCACAGCAATAACCTCGCTTCAACAGCCAACAACAGGCAACAAGACCAGCTCTACCAACGCCACCTCGACAATGTGCCAAAACTCGTTCGTTCTGCTGTATATGGGTGTCAATCTTCTGAATCACCTCATCTATCTGTTCCACTGTATCTGGACATCCGCCCTCGATCATCGGTATTCTTACTATATCCAAATTATATTTCCTGGCTGCGTCCGCATATATTGACCATGGTGCCCCTAGAAACTCCAATTCGTCATTGTTCAGACAACTTAACGATCGAGTCAAATTAACAGTGTAGAGATTATATACAATAAAGGGTAACGATTACGTTAGCAGAACTATAAAGCGTACCCTTTCTCGTTTTCGGCTAGTATTATCCCTTCTCATCAGCACAAGTTTTTCCTTTTTAAGCAGTAACACTCACCACACAACCAAAGATATTCCACATGAACGTAAACGTTGAAAATCCAAATCAAGATCCCTGTCAATAGCCGAACGACCACGCACGGGCCCATTCAATCGCACTTTCTTCCCCGGACATGAGCTGAGTGCAAGGTTCCCAGAGATACTCAGCTCATTAGAGTCACATTCACTTCCCTCTGACCGCGTTGCCTTAAGGTAACGTTTGTAGAGAGAAGTACTAGTATATATGTCGAATAAATCAATAGAAGCCGGCAACGGCCCACTAGAAATTCCTCTTATCAGTTCTTCAGGTAGAATCCAACTTATACTAATCACGAAGGAAACAATAATACGTGAGTATTTCTACACAGAAACATTCGGTAATACGTGTATGTAAAAATGTATTGCGCACTTAATGGGATGAGTAGTCGAGGTCTTCAAACCAGATCTATGAGGTTTGTAAAATACGTTCGGCTTGTAGCCATTCAAAGAAGACATGGGGGGAACTGAAACAGTTTCGGGTGTTGCAGAACTCATTTTATGTTATATGTGTTCTCACCCTTAGATAATTGATATTGAATTACTGATAAAATTCATCCAATATGAATCTGAACCATTCGTTGGCCAAGATATCAAAGAAATAGTAAAAAGAGAAGTGGCTGCAAGAGTTTTAGTTTCCTTTACAGCGCACTTTGTTAAGCCAAATTTTGCCAAATGCAACATTGACCAGATGGAAAAGTAACGCAAAAATCCAAGGGGTAAATATTTTATGTGTATGTGTCATGTGTCTATTTGTAAGACATGGCGCGAATGCTATAAGAAGTTATTAAGCAAAATTTGCAACTATCTAATGCTGAGTGAAGGCATATGCTGCTAAGTCGATAAGGGTGTGTGTGTTAAGTCCGCACTTATGTCACGATATAAGTCTGGCTCCGCGGGTTGCCCTTCGGCTAATGTCTTCATTGTAGTGACGATTACTTTATTTTTCTATCGACATCCCCCTATCTATATATTATTACTACCTATATTCTGTAACTGAGTATGACTGTAAAATGTATATTATAATTAAAACAACACCAGAATTAAAGTTCGAGACTTGTAATAGCATCAAAACGTTTATTACATAAACTTTGTAATTATGTAACAATGTGAAATTCCTATTACTCTGATTTTTCTTTTACACTTTTGTTACCCTAACCTCGCCTTATACCCGGCAAAAAAAAAGCGCTCGCTCAGTCGTACCACACTATTATATCAATACACACGTTTATCCGACTGAAGGCTAGATATTCGATCTTAATAGGAATCAGAATTACTACCGTTTTTAAATAGTAAAACCCATTTCCAATCTAACTACAATAAACTAAGTCAATTTATTCACCCTCTTATGGATTGTGGTTCTCTCTTTTTGACAAAAATATCTGTTAAATTTTTGTTGTCTTCCTTCGATTGAATATGTCGCAACAAACTTTGTGATGTTGGCGCGTCTTGTTCTTCTACAAATTTGGCAGAAACTTGCTATTCTACATGCTGCAAGAGTAATTTGCATTGTTCCAATGCCACAAAATGAGAAAAAAATTTTCGATTCTAAACGTCGCTATCATCATACACTACCCGGACAAAGTATCGGACCCTCTAACTTTATTAATTACTCGAAATTATACATAGTAAACGAGGCTAAAATTTTTATACGTTATGCTCTGGGTTATTGAAAAACGCGTCACATTTTTTACGTGTTACAGCTTTTTTTGTTTTTGTAAACATAAAATGACTGATTGGTAATTTTGAATCGTCGACTTAAAATGTCTGAATTAACTGAAGCTGAACGTGGTCAAATTATTAATCTTTTCAAAGCCGGTGCTACAAAAGCCAGTATTAAAAAAAGCTTGGTTTCTCTAAAACAACAGTTATCAAAAATATTCAAAATGTTCAAAAAAGAAACAGTCTTGTAACTCAGTCACAAAGTGGTCGTCCAAAACTTTTGAGTTTTTGAGCATCAACGAACATTAAACAAATCGTTAAGAATAATAACCGTAAATCAGCTGAACAAATTACAAATACATTCAATGAAAAAACTGGACTTAATGCTTCTACGAAAATTATTACAAAAAATTTGCATAACCTTAATTACTTTTCTCGTGTGCCAGCAGTTAAACCTCTTCTTAATAATCGACAAAGAAAAAATCGTTTAGACTGGTGTCTTGAAAGAAGGACTGGTCCATCAGAAAGTGGAAAAATGTCATTGGGAGTGATGAAAGTCGCTTCACTATATTCAAGAATGATGGTCCAAATCATGTTTAGAGAACGCCTGGAACAAGACACAATATCAAGAACATGGCTCCTTCAGTCAAGCATGGAGGTGGAGGTTTAATGATTTGGGGTTGCTTTTCTGGCAAGGGCTTAGATCCATTAGTAAGAGTGGATAAAAAAATGAATAGGTTGATTACAGTCAAAGCTCGGAAAACCGATAGCAGTGTTTTCGTCTTTTTCTATCGGTTTTCCGAAATATCGGTTTTGAGAGATTATTACATTTGATTGATGGAAGCAATTACATATAGTAAATTAAGAACTGTGAATATTGCGCAAAATTTCTGATTTTAATGAACGCGGAATTGATAATAACAAAGCCACTGGGCGGATTATTGACAAATGGCATTAGGTTGTCCACACCTGCTAGAGTTGTTTTTAATGAAATTATAAGCTGTGGTTCATATTACTTGTCACTTTTTTCTTTGCCTTCTTCGTCTTCTTCGTCTTCTTCGGCGTTCTGTACGGGTTGCAATAATATCATTATCGGTAAAACGTTCAATAGGTAATTACCTATCAATACAAATATACTCAGTAGCCAACAACGGCTCAGCTGAGTAATACAATGCTGTATGTTTTCAATCGTGTTATCGTACTGATATTAACACTATGGGGAACAAGAGGCGAATCTTACCAGTTTTCCAACAATTGTGA